ATTAATTTATAATACAAAAAACACACACACACACACACACACACACACACACACACACACACACACACACACCTGAATACCAGAGAAGAAGAAGCAGAGACAATCACCTGAAAAAGACACTGAACTCGAGTGTTTCTGTCCCGTCTTGTGTCTCTAGCTTCCTGTATGATCTCCCTTCGTCTGCGGGTCGGCATGTTTATTGTTTATTGTTTATTGTTTATTGTTTATTAGAATCTACATTAGTACAGTAAACCAATATAATCACATTATATCAACAATATCTTTAAGTTTGACCTTTTTCTTAATCAGCTCATGAGAGCTGCTATAGATCTGATATCTGCTAATGAAACCAGTGAAATGAGGATTAATGTTCGTACTGTGAACGAACACACTGCGATATAAACTGTCAGTGTGACTCAATGACAGGATGTGTACAGGCTCTGTTAGCATCCACGCTAACAGAGCTGCTAGCAGTGACAGGTGGCTTTAAAGCAACGTGGAAATCTCACATAAAAGAGAAGAAATGTCTGAAAGCAGTTTCTCTCTGTTTTCTGTTCTGACTTCCCCAGAGTCCTCGGCCGAAGTAGAGGTCAGCGCCGCCACCGCAGCCCCCCTGACAGAAGGTCAACGATGGAAACAAACAAAGCAGAGCTGGAACAGAAACCGCCAAGGAACGTTTGAGTGTCACTGAAGCAAACATTAAACTCGACCCGGGAGCCGACGCAGCCGTCCGGAGCGTCCACAGAGTGCGAGGGAGGAAGGAAGTGATGCCACGCTGAGGGCCGAGCTGGCGTTCCCCTCCAAATACTTTTCTGCTCCATTTGCTTCTTTTACGGCCGCGAAGCAGCAGGTTTACCCCGCCGTCACTACCCAGAAGCCCCGGGGTGTGTGTGTGTGTGTGAGAGAGAGGAGGACGGTGGAGGTGGAAATGGATCGTAAAGTTGGAAACTCCTGGAACAACACCTGAGAGACACACGGACGCATGAACACACACAGACATGTTTGTTCACTTATTTTTATTCCTACAGTGCGAAATAAGATTAATGAAAGCTAACAGACTGAGGCTAAAGCTAACAGCTAAAATTGGACCTAAAACTATGAATTAAGTTGAATCAACTAAAGTCAATTCAGTTGGACAAACATTGTTGCTTAATGCTGCTTGCATTCTTCCCACGATTTAATTAAAACGTGTACACAAATCAACTACATAGATATAAATACATTTTAATGAGGAAATGTTACAGATTATAGATTTAAAGGATACTATGATCAATGGATTAAACTTATATTGGGGCCATTTAAGTTCACAGACATTCCTCAAAGGATCCCATTAACAGCTTTTAGTCTTCTGCCATCATGTAGAACAGAAGAGGACCCAGAACGAAGCCTTGAGGAACTCCACAGGTCATTTTCATCCACTGAGATGTGTCTGGAAGCCCAAACAAAAGATGCTGTCAGTCATTATAAAGAGAAACTTTTTTCAAAATAATAACTTAGAATCACAAGACATAAGACACAAGTTTCTCATTATTTTGATTTACAGAATCCTTTTTTCCGACATATTGGCAGAAACGAGCTTCCATAGCTGTGCAATTACCTGCAGACACTAACTAGTCCCAGTCCTTTAAAGGTCCAGTGTGTCTGGTTTAGTGGTATCTTGTGGTTTAGTTGCAGATTGAAACTCCCTCTCTTCACCCTCCTCTTCCAAACGTGCAGGCGAAACTACGGTGGCACTAACGTTTCCACTCAGGTCACAAACTAAGAGTTAGCACCTGATTACGATTCGGCTTACGCTGGCGTCCCATCAGCTGGGTGGAGTAAAATAAGCACATCAGTGACCCGGCAGTTTACACTGAGGTGGTAGACGAATCAATTCAATTCAATTCAATTCAGTTCAATTCAATTTTATTTGTATAGCACCAATTCATAACAGAAGTTATCTCAGGACACTTTTCAAATAGAGCAGGTCTAGACCGAACTCTTTATAACATTATTTACAGAGACCCAACAGTACCACCATGAGCAAGACCTTGGAGACAAGGGCAAGGAAAAACTGCCTGTTAAAAGGCAGAAACCTAGGACAGATCCTCCGGCTCTAGGTGGGTGGTCGTCTGCCTCGACCAGTTGGGGTGAGAGAGAGACAGAGACAGAGACAGACGACAGACAGACAGACAGACAGACAGACAGACAGACAGGTGCACAGCAACAACAGTAGCAATAACTACACTAATAGTAGTTACTGATGACAATGAGCAGTGACAACAGCAACAACAGTAACCGTAGCAATAATAATACTTACAATAATAATAACACTAATATCAGTGATATTGGCAATGGCAGTCAAGCAGGACCATGGCAGGAGGCTCCACCAGGATCCATGAGAACCTGCACCCAAACGCACCCAATGGCACTCAGGCCTCACACTGTATGTAAACACACACACAGCTCAGACACATATGGACGTACACATACACACATACAGCCACATACATTAAACATGACGCACACACACTCCCTCAGCAGCAGCTCCACAGCGCCCCCTGGGTCTCCGCCCACAGCTGTGAGCCTCCAACAGTAGATTAATCATCTCCGTTCAACCACAGTGATAAATGAGCCGCCAGCACGACACACTGCGGCCCCACGGTCAGGAACCACACACACACACACACACACACACACACACACACACACACATACATATACATACATATATATACATACATACACACACACACACACACACACACAGCATATATACACACATATAAATATAAATTAAATATAATTCTTTATTAGAAATAATCCCTAGAAATCAACCATCTCATCAATAACACTATATAATCACACAATATAATAATAATACAATATAATCACACAATATAATAATAATACAATATAATCACACAATATAATAACACAATATAATGATACAATAAAATAACACAATATAATGATACAATATAATCACACAATATAATGATACACTAAAATAACACAATATAATAATATAATATAATCACACAATATAATGATACAATATAATCACACAATATAATGATACAATATAATAACACAATATAATGATACAATATAATCACACAATATAATGATACAATAAAATAACACAATATAATAATATAATATAATCACACAATATAATGATACAATATAATCACACAATATAATGATACAATATAATCACACAATATAATGATACAATAAAATAACACAATATAATAATACAATATAATCACACAATATAATGATACAATAAAATAACACAATATAATAATATAATATAATCACACAATATAATGATACAATATAATCACACAATATAATGATACAATATAATCACACAATATAATGATACAATATAATAACACAATATAAACACAATTAGACGAAACATCTAATGAAAACAAACATAACAACAAGTTAATACAACCAAATGTGAAGAAAAACAATATCAAATACAATGTACAGTAAAATCTTGAATAAAAGCAGGGTCTCAAACAGAAGCGGGTCTCCTTTAAAAGCCTGCTGTGGTTACATGTTAATAAAGGCAGGTCTCCAATAGAGGCCTGGTCTGGATTGTAAAGAAATGATCTGGATGTATAAAACCTGTTGAGCGAGTTTTAAGCTGTTTAGAGATCCTCCACAGATATTAATGTTTAACCTTCTGTCAGTATGGATGCTGCACATCGTTGGATCAGTTCAAGCCTTCATTTTACTGAAACTAAAAACATTAAAGTTTAACGTTCATTCATTCATTCAGACTCACCAGCGCTGTAAACAAGACCGGATCATAAAGTCTGTACGGTCCGTTCCTCCATTATTTATATTCCTTTAGTCCGTCAGGGTCCATCAGAACAAAGTGTTTCATTAAATTAATCTGAGCTGTGATATTATCATCTGCAGTCTGTTTACTGTCTGTTTATTGTCTGTTTACTGTCCATTTATTGTCCGTTTACTGTCCTTTTACTGCCCGTTTACTGTCTGTTTACTGTCTGTTTATTGTCTGTTTACTGTCCTTTTACTGCCCGTTTACTGTCTGTTTACTGTCTGTTCACTGTCTGTTCACTGTCCGTTTACTGTCCGTGTTTGTTTATTGTCTGTTTACTGTTTGTTAATTATCTGTTTATTGTATGTTTACTATCTGTTTATTGTCTGATTACTGTCTGTTCACTGTCTGTTCACTGTCCGTTTACTGTCCGTGTTTGTTTATTGTCTGTTTACTGTTTGTTAATTATCTGTTTATTGTATGTTTACTATCTGTTTATTGTCTGATTACTGTCTGTTTACTGTCTGTACGCTGGCTGCCGGAAATCTTCAGCTGCTGTAAAACCACGTTCACGTTCAGTGTCATGGTGGCGGCACAAAGAAAAAAGTACAACCTGAAATTTCCCGTAAGTGACCTGTTAGTCTTCAACTTTACTGAACAAAACTGAAGAAACAGCAGTTAGAGAGAATTTCCATCTGAGCTGAGTTTGTGCTAAAGGAATTAAAGGCCTGTCCCATATAAAAGATTGTCCCAATTAGATGCTTGTCCCCATAAAAAGGAATCTATAACGATGAAAACCTGCTCTCTTCTTATCAAGCACACATCTGTCATCCTTTGACGACCTTTGACCTTCGCTGTTATTTTCTGACAAACAAAATATTTTTTGGTGTTTTTATTGTAATTGTATAAGAAGGGGTAGTTTAAATTGATATGAAACAACATATGATTATTTCATATTTTAGAGCTGATGTCGTGGGTCGGACAGAGGAGGATGGAGGGCCGGAAATGGCCCCCGGGCCGGAAGTTGGAGATCCCTGAATGAGAGCATTGATTCATCCATTGATTACAGAGTGGAGTCAAAGTCAGTGAGAGCAGTAAACAAGTGGGAAGGTGATAAAAATATTTACAGGTAAATTATACCATCAATCAAACATTAGGCTGAACCATAAACTGCAGTCTTCTTATGATGGGAGAGGTCAAACTGTGCAATGATGAATCTATTATCAAAATCACCTTTATTGATCAGTTATGTGCACAGAGACAAAGAATCTGACTCAATACAAGCACAGAATCACACAAATAAACAGGACAACAAGCTTAACAACATAAACGACTGTGTACAGATATAAACATAAACAACATTTATAGACAGTGGGAGAAATATTGTTGAGCTTATTATTTGTTTTTAATGTATATAAATATGTATACTAGAGGTAGGTGGAGATGGCAGTATATACAATGTATATATGATATTTATATGTTTATTTATAGACTAAAGTGATTCTTTTTTTCATTGGTGTAGATTCAAATTCTTTATTTTACAGCTAATTGTGAAACATGTTTCAATGTTTTAATATAAAAACAGTAAAATAGAAGTACAATCGTATTCTTCCCAAAAAGTACTCAGAGTATTAATTACTTTTTTAAGCACTGATTTTAAATGTATTGTCCACAGCAGACATTCAATAAAAATAGGAGATCCATGTAGAAAATATACTTTCAATAAACTGATCAAACTAAGGCAGTTTGTTTTCTTAACTAATATGAACTAATTGAACCTCTATAAAACACATGTAATTAGTAAACATTATTTAAAAAATTAGTTAATTCCAGCCCTGTATAATCCATTAAAATTTAAGGCAACTTGTTCCAGTGAGAATAAAATCTCTTTAGAGATCGGTGGTTTGTTCGGGGACTGCTATGATTGGTTAAACTCACAGGAAACTACAAGGATTGGACAAAGTTGAATTCACATGGACTGGTTGTTAAACTACCTGGAGAGATTGATTATTGGTAAATGTTCTAACAGTAAATGAAAAGCAGTTTCTAAAACGGAAAACAACTCCAATACCAAAGTTAATTTTCTTCACATTATGGTCAGTATGGTATTTAAATGATTCAATGATGAGGCCCAGGTTTTTGGTTTAACTCTTTGCAGTATCACTGCGACAGATAATAAGACTATATGTCTTTAGAAAAGTCATAATTTGATTTAGTTTTATTGAATAGTAATTTAATAGCTGCGATCCAGATTTATTTTAAATTCAATTCAATTCAATTCAATTTTATTTGTATAGCGCCAATTCATAACAGAAGTTATCTCAGGACACTTTTCAAATAGAGCAGGTCTAGACCAAACTCTTTAAAACATTAAGACATTATTTTAGATGTGTATATAATTGTATCGTCTGCATAAAGCTGAACACAACATTCAGAACAAATTAAAAAAACATGATGACCAAGAGCGGATCCCTGAGGAAAGCCTTGTTTCTTTGTATGACAACACATTGTTTTCTGTTATGAAGACAGTAAGTATTATAATAAGTAAGTATTAAACCAAAGTAAAGCATAACAGACCCACAGAGGTAGTAATCAACCGGATTGGAAGCAATGAAAGTTGCACCTGTTAATAAAACCATTATTATAATTATATATTATAATTTTTAAGTTATAACAAAGCAGTAGTTTAATGTTTTGATGGAAAGCCAGCCTGAAAAGCTGATAAGATATAACGAATATTTACATACTTATTTTTTAAATAGTAATTCTCTCAAGAAAAACAAAACAAAACATATTTTCCTCACAATTTTGCACCAAATGACATTTTTCTTCCCAGGAAAAGTTCTAGGAAATTATCAAATAAATATCATATCATCGTGCGTTCAAAAGTTTTTTTCTATGGAAATTAAATAAACCCATTAAATAAAATGTCACCAAACAACTTCATTCTCCATAAATGTTGATTTTAACCCTCATAGAAATGTTTTTTTGGTTAATTCTTTTCAAAATTCATTAAGTAAACTTACAGGAAGTGATTAAAAACTCATAAAGTTACCAAACAACTTCATTCTCCATAAAGTTGTTTGCAGTAAACGTCTTTTTGGGAAATGATCCGTTATGAAATAACTGCTGTTGTACTTTCTGTTGTATAATAATCTGCAGAAGCACATTTGGCTGCAGCAGAGACTCTCCAGATGGATTTTCTGACTCTGTGATCCGTGGCGTCTCTCCGTCGTGCTGCTGCCTGCTGTGTGGTCCGGTCTGTCGGGGCCGCCCAGGCCCCTCAACAGGCCCCTCAACAGGCCGTTTATGTTAATCACGTCATAATGTTATTTAGATCAATCGATCGTCCCGCTCGCCGGGCGCTGCCAGTCTGAGGTCAGGAGCCGTGGGGGTGACGGGTTACATTTGCACAACACGGTGGCACTGGGCGTCCCGTTGGACAGGGAGGCGACCTCTCGTTGTGGCGGGCGGGCGGCAGCGTCCTCACGCCTGCGGCCCCACGCTGAGCCTCAGAGCGCTGGCCTTTTCCCCTCGCCAGCCTGTCAAACGGAGGCAGACTGACAGCGAGTCCCAAACCCCCCTGGCTGCCTTCAGACATCACTCCCCTCCTCGTCTGCTGCTGTCAGACACTCAGATATCACTCCGACTTATTCTCCAAACCCCGACTCGCCAACACGCCCCTTAAAACTCCGGCGTCAGGAGTGAGGAGCAAA